GAGGCTATGGGGGCTGCAGAGCAGCTATAGGGAGTGATAAGTGGCTATAGGGGGGAGCTGTGAGGCTATAGGGGCTATAGAGGGTGACAAGCGGCCATAGGGAAGCATGTATAGGGGCTATATGGGGTGATGAGCAGCTATGGGGGGAGCTGTGGGGCTATAGGGGCTGCAGAGCAGCTATAGAGGCTATAGGGGGTGATAAGCAGGCATAGGGGAGCATATATAGGGGCTATAGGGGGTGATGAGCTGCTACGGGGGTGGGGCTATGTGGCTATAGGGGGTGACAAGCAGCCATAAGGGAGCATGTAGAGGGGCTATAGGGGGTGATCAGGGGCTACAGGGGGTAGCTGTGAGGCTATAGGGGCTGCAGAGCAGCTATAGGGAGTGATAAGTGGCTATAGGGGCTGCAGAGCAGCTATAGGGGCTGATGAGTGGCTATGTGGGGTGTATAGGGGCTATAAGCTATAGGGAGTGATAAGTGGCTATAGGGGGGAGCTGTGAGGCTATAGGGGCTATAGAGGGTGACAAGCGGCCATAGGGAAGCATGTATAGGGGCTATATGGGGTGATGAGCAGCTATGGGGGGAGCTGTGGGGCTATAGGGGCTGCAGAGCAGCTATAGAGGCTATAGGGGGTGATAAGCAGGCATAGGGGAGCATATATAGGGGCTATAGGGGGTGATGAGCTGCTACGGGGGTGGGGCTATGCGGCTATAGGGGGTGACAAGCAGCCATAAGGGAGCATGTAGAGGGGCTATAGGGGGTGATCAGGGGCTACAGGGGGTAGCTGTGAGGCTATAGGGGCTGCAGAGCAGCTATAGGGAGTGATAAGTGGCTATAGGGGCTGCAGAGCAGCTATAGGGGCTGATGAGTGGCTATGTGGGGTGTATAGGGGCTATAGGGGGGAGCTGTGGGGCTATAGGGGCTGCAGAGGAGCTATAGAGGCCATAGAATCATAGAATCATTGAGGTTGGCAGAGCCCCTTGGGATCACGGAGTCCAACCATCTCCCCTGCTCTACAAAGTCCTCCCCTACACCATGTCCCTCAGCACTGCATCTAAACGGCCCTTAAACACAGCCAGGGATGGGGACTCCACCCCCTCCCTGGGCAGCCTGTTCCAACGCCCGACCACTCTTTGGGTGAAAAATTCCTTCCTAATGTTCAATCTAAACCTAAATGGTCAATCTAAACCTCCCCTGTTGGAGCTTGAAGCCGTTCCCTCTCGTTCTGTCACTAATGACCTGTGAGAGGAGACCAGCACCAACCTCTCTACAGTGTCACAGAATCACAGAATCACAGAATCTTCTAGGTTGGAAGGGACCTTAAAGATCATCTTGTCCAACCGTCAACCCAACTGACAAAAATAGACACCCACACAACAAACAAGGAGCATCATCACTAAACCATATCTCCCAGCACTACATCAACCCGGCTTTTGAACACCTCCAGGGATGGGGCCTCAACCCCCTCCCTGGGCAGCCCATTCCAATGTCTAATAACCCTTTCAGTGAAAAAAATGTTTCCTAATATCCAGCCTGAACCTCCCCTGGCGCAACTTGAGGCCATTTCCTCTCGTCCTGTCGCCTGGGACTTGAGAGAAGAGACTGACCCCCACCTCTCTACACCCTCCTCTCAGGGAGTTGTAGAGAGCAATAAGGTCTCCCCTCAGCCTCCTCTTCTCCAGGCTGAATAACCCCAGCTCCCTCTGCCTCCCCTCATAAGACTTTCATGAAGTTGTAGAGAGTGATGAGGTCTCCCCTCAGCCTCCTCTTCCTCACACTAAACAGTCCCAGCTCTTTCAATCACTCTTCATAAGATTTTATTCTCCAGCCCCCTCACCAGCTTCGTTGCCCTCCTCTGCCCTCGCTCCAGCACCTCCAGATCTCTCTTGGATTGAGGTGCCCAAAACTGGACACA